TTGGAGGTGTTTTTTTACGCGGTGAGTCCCAAATCCAGCGCAAAACCCTGGGATGGGATAATTCGCCTTCTCACTTTATGTTTAACGACCTAGAGGATACCTGGTCTAAGAACAGAAGTCATGGTCTGCTTGAGCCATATATAAAAGAATCGCTTCTGCAGCATGGTGATCATTAGGTGATCAATAATAATGAAAGTTTATTTTGATGTAACAAAGAAATCGTTCTATAATATGAAAAAAAAATTAATTTTATTTGAGAAATAAAACTAAAATATACTCAAAACGCCAACAAGTTATCTAACTACCCTAATAATAAACAAATGAAATAATAAAACCACAAATAAAGCGAACATAAGCTTTTACACCCAAGTAATATTGTTTTTTTTTTTTTTTCATTTTTCACACGAAGTCAACGAGGAACTGCAGTCGGAACGCCGCTACGGTTCACCGCAAAGTCGGTTGGAAATGTTAGGTATGGCGAAACAATGGAAGAAATGTGTTCATTACGCTCAATGTGGCCATAAATTCAAGTAGCAAAAACAATTTAATAATATAAAAACAAAAAATAACTAAAAAACAAACAAACAAATCGCACAGCCACTGTGAACGTGTGACAAAGTGTTTACACTGGCGAATGATCGCAGCTACTTCAGAGATTTGTCGACCGAAGCCAGCGCCAAGCGGGTTCGCGGCTTGGTTAGCAAATGAATGGCTCGTTTGTTGAGCATTTAAAATTATATAAAGTGAATTATTAGATTATTATTGAAAATAAAGTGAAGTGCAATTATTGAAATCGCCAACCGCCACGTCCTATTTAGTTGTTAAGTGGAGTAAACGATTTGACAACTCACAATAATAATATAATATGAAAAGACTATTTATTTTTTTGGAATATTATGGCATATAGAATTGCTGATGTTGTATAAATTGTTCTCTAAAAGACTCTATGAACTTTGAAGCCGACTTTAAAGAAGGGAGAATTTTCATGCACTTGAACGGCATTTGCTTTCTTGAGCAGTAAAAAAGTAGATTACGTTCTAATATAATAAAAGGTTAAGGTTCATTTCCAAGAAGTGGATCTAATCTTACAAATATTTGCTTATAATTCATTTTTGTGGCGGAGTTCATGGTTAGTTAAAAAATTGATGGCGTGAGGCAGAGAATCTTTTCGAGCGCTTTCATTATTTATTTATTTATTTATTTATTTAAAAGAGAACTAATTATAAATAATTAATCCACTTGTAAGAATCAGCACCGGCTACCAGGGCCTTCGGCTCTTAATACTAAGATTATGGTGAAAAGAAAATATTTAGTAATATTTTATGTTACACAGTTTAAGAAATTTATTAATGGCACTGATGTTATCGCTGTTTGTTGCTTTGAGAAGGTCGGAAGGTCTCTTATTCCCAAAGGTTGATTTCCTTAATACGTGCAGTGCAGGGCATTCATCGATGAGGTGAATGACTGATTGGGTGAGAGCGTTGCAATGGTGACAGCTTGGTTGATCGGTACCGTTAAGAATATGGCTGTGAGTTCTTGTAGTGTGGCCTATTCTAAGACGAGTGAACGTCTTGATGGGTGGATAGGTTTTACACCAGTTGGGTTTTGATCTCTGTAGTGATGTTGATAGCTAGTCTAATCTCGGAGATTTATATGATGGCAGTACTTTTTTATATGTTCTTTGATGTCTTTAGTAGTAAAGTGTGGAAAGAACGCTTTCATTTATWTATATTTCATTATATTATATTATAAGTTGAGAAATGTACTGCGACCTACGCCCTGAGCCTTTTTATAATTAATACTATCTTTATGAATTATGATAAGTATGTACCACTTAGTTGCACAATTTATAAACAAATTTGACACAGCTTAAGTCGCGCTCTTCAATTTCCTCCTTTTCATAACTCATTGCGTCTAAAATTCAGCGTCCAAGCCAATATTGAGCACAAAAAGTTTCTATATTGCAATTTTACAGGGTGATAAAGCAATGTTTCTTATATAAAAAATTACAAATTCTAGCAAACACGAGCATTATACAAAAGACTTAAGACACAAACCTAATGCTGCAACAAGAGATATAATATGTAGATATATTCACTTAATTGACCTTTACATCGTGACAAAAAAAGTACGCGGAAATTGTATTTTGTCACCTTCAAAATAATTTCCACAAGATGTAATACACTTATGTCAACCATTTTTCCACTTTCACTTTTCATAAGCACTTTTTGGTATGGCCTTCAGCTCTTTCAGCGAATTTTGTTTTATCTCTTCGACCGACTGAAAAAGGGTTCCACGGAGCAGCAATTTCAGTTTTAAGAACAAGAAAAATTCACATGGAGCCAAATCTGTTGAATACGGTGGTCGATCGATGGTATTCATTGTGTCTTTGGCTTTTAATTCGATCACTATCCTATTCTTTTTGAAAAAAATTCAGCTTTTCTCTCTAACATTTGGCTGACAATTTTCAATGCTTAACTTTTTTAATATTTTCATCAGTTGAAGAGGTCGAAAGTCATCCATAACGAGATACATATATCTTCAATCTTCTTTGTACCACTCTTTAGGCTTGCGTTTTTGATAAAATTGAATCGCCGTAAGCCTTTTCCAACATTCGCAACGATTCCGCAAACGAAATTTGGTTAGAAATACAGAATTTGAGACAAAACCCTTGCTCTACAAGTAAACAGAACTTTTTAAATCTAGCGCCCCCTGGTGGCCCCATCTATATGTCGACTGGTGCATTAGAATCTGCTATATTTATCAATCAACATGTGGACCAATCAAAATCCGTGATCACCTGAAATTCCATCGAAACTGTAAATCAGCCGAAATCATAATTTCAAATTCATGGAAATGGAATTGCAGATCTCCAAAACATGTGTGCAGGGTTTGTTCCGCACAAATTGACTGATGACCAAAAATTCATTGAAAAAATTCTCATCGATCGACGCTTGTGACCGATTATTTTACCAAAAATCACATTTTAACCATTACCCACTCCTCATATTCACCTGATATGACACCGTGCGACTTCTTCCTTCTCTGAAAAATGCATTTGCCCATGAAAGCAAAGCGTTATGCAAACGTAGAGGCCATACAAAAGGCTTGCTCCGGCATACTACCATACCGGCCAACGAGCTAAAACTAAAACACTCGTTCGACATGCTTGAGAGACTGTCGGTGCATATTATTAGGTTACAGCCTTCGGGGTTTTAATTTTGCAGCTTCTTCAATTGCTCTAATTTCCGAGTTGAATATAGCCGTGTAGCAAGGCAGAAGCCCATTTTTGATTAGTTCTTTAGATTCTGTTGTAATATTAAAGGTGTTTTCAACTTTCTTTGAACCATCACAGTATCAAATTAGCCAGTGCTTTTACTTCCATTTTGGCACTTCCTTGACATGTAGTTGCCTTAAAGCAAGTGGGTTCGTGTTATTTTTGGGAAAACCACTGTATACGAAAAGAGATTCTGCAGATTTCCAGGGAAAACTGAATAGCTTGTAGGTTTTTAGTTTCGATAAATGCCTATGTTCCTATGCCTATCTTCTTAGTCATTTTGAAGATTTTTGTGAATGTAGAATTTATTTTTAGGTATCTTTTGAAATGAGTCTTGAAGTCTGTGTACAGGATGTTATAAGAGTTTTGTATGCAGTTATAGATTTTACTCACAGTTAATTTAAAAATGCGGTCTTTAATAGTAGGGAGTTTCAGTTCATAGAGTATGTTTGCAATTGCAGTTGGTTCGAAACCCGAAACTAATTATGCGTGGTGCCATGTGGTAGTTTATTTCAATTTTCTGCAGATAGCGTTTAGATGTTTTGCCATATACATATAATAAGGAAATAGTAGATCTTCCCCAGTATCAAGGCTTTCATAATATTTAATAAAGACTTTGTATGTACGCCACTTTTCAAGCTGCATATGATTTTAAGTAGATTTATTCGTTTTGAAAGGTCTTCACATAGGACTTCGATTTTGTATTTTAAAGTGAGTTTTTGATCGTTAGTTATTTCTACGATTTTAAGATAGAGCACACGTTCTATGATATGATTGCGAAACACTGGGTCTGGAAGATTGCAGTTCCGCTTCTTACACTTTTCAAAATTAATAGATGCACCCGGTGTTAATGATCAATTTGTAAATAAAGAAGACAAGTTTTTCGAATCATTATTGTAAGTGTTTACGTCGTTAATCTTCGATAAAATAGAAATTATCTGCATATGAATAGTGGGATATGTTATTAACTCTTTTCCATTAAAGCATTTATTTTTTCAAATGTGTTTAGAAATAACATCACCGATTGGAGAGACCCCTGTGGTATTCCAATTTTTTTACTTTTTTAAGTTTGATTTATATCCGTTTACGTTGGCCGCAAATGTTTTTCATAAAAATGCTTTTGTATAGTTGTAGATTTTCGGACCAACTTTTCACTGATCAACTTGTTTGAGTATAGAGTGGGCACCTATACGATCGAAGGCTTTTATAAAATCAACACTTATAACAGAGCAGTGATTTGGAGTTTATAAATTACTAGATAGAAAGTGGTCTAGGTAAATTGTTGCCTGCTTGACCTAGATTTAAAATCAATTTGTTTTCTACTTATTAGTTTGTTTAACAAGGACACGAGGACAATTTTCTTTAGTATTTTTAAGGTTATTTTCCAATTCAAACAGTGTATTTTCTTCTTCACGACTACTAGCAGACTTTGAAATTTTATTCACCTTGTATACCGATTTGAGGTCGCAATTTCTGGCAGAAATATATTCACGTAAAAATTGTTCATCATAAGTGGCAAATATTTCCGCAATTTTGAGCAAGGTTCAGCCTTTACAATGAACTTACCACCGGAACGTAGAACAACGTCAAACGTTGTACTCTACAGCTCAAGAGAAATCAGATTTAAGTGATGGGAATTATACAACAATTGAAAAACAACTCGAAAAATAATACAACATTGAACACTCATGAATATTTAAATTTAAAATTTCAATTCCAGGTGTACTATAACCAAACTATTTTATTAAATAATAAATATAATATAATTTCACTCAAATGCAATTCAAATATTAAACCAAATCATGTAGTCGTCTTGCAGTCGATGAATCGATATAAAAATTACCAATACAAACTAATTATTTTTCTTTTGCTGTTTTTGGTTATTTAATCAATGGTTAAGGCTCATTCAAGTAAAGTTGCAATTAATCTCTTTACAAAATAATTATTTATTTTAGTTTCTGTAACCTAAATTCTTATTATCATTCAGTTTTATTGAGTTCGAAGTGCATTGAAGGCACATGTTGAAGTCCGCTCTTGAGTTAAATAGTTTGGAACTATCAAAAGAATAGGCTTTAACCAACAATTAATAACCTATGTATGTAATTACATCCTTTACGAATATTGAAAATAATTCATAAGCTTTTTGGCTTTTTTTTTTATCGCATTTTGGTTATTACATGTAGTAGTCGAAACCAAAATTTGGTGGTTGCAGATGATCTGGATTAGGATCGGCGCGCAGAATACGTCCGTCTGGACCAACGGGATCGAAACGCGGATTCAGACCGGCATTGAAATCGGGACGTGAAGGCATTGGAAAGAGATTACCAGGACCACCGCGACCCAAAGGATCTAAGTCGCCGCGTCCAACATCGGGAAAGCCAAACGGCCGAGGCTCCATTCGAAAAGAACTACAAAAAAGATGACAATTATTGGAAATTGAAATGAAAACTTTAATAGCAGCACCAATTTATACACACTTCACAGAAGCAGTTGAGCAAAGCAATAAAATTACTATGCCCAATGTGTTGTTGGTTTGCATGCTATAAATTGTATAGCAAAAAATATATTAAAGTTGGAAAGATGACTGTTTATGATCGCGGCTATAAATATACTAAAGCTCACGTATTGTCTGAGAATGTAAACTTCTTGATTGCTTACGCTATCTCATTAACTTAACCCTTGTGTACCAAACATATTTTTTTTTAAACTAAAACTGATAGCGATTTTGAAGCAGTTTTTGTAATTTGATTTCATAGATGATGATAATATTGATATACGTGGAATAAAAACAAAAACAACAAAATATAATAAATTTTACCAAAAAGTGCATGATAAATTTGACACTTTTTTATTTAAGGATTAAGAACCTGTTTGTTATACAAGCAGTAATACGACATAAGTTGAAGAGTTTAAAGCTTGTTTAAAGAGAGTTTGTAGTTTTAATATGCACACATAAAAACGTTTATCAGCAAAAATACCCCTCAACCATAAAAAGCTTGTGTTCTTACTGCGAATCGAACCGCAAAAAAACAATATAAATAATTTTGCGGTATTTGAATGAGCGCTAAGATGACAGTATTACATGAAACAAATAATTTATATTATGAATCATTGACCAAACACAAACTCGGCTATCGGCTATTGTCCTCTGAATAGTTGATATGTCAAAACTGTTATCAACATTCAGGTACATATTACTCTTTTATATTTTTATTTATTGATTCAAGATGTTTTTATATAAATATAAATACAGTGTCTAATATTAAAAAACTGTCAAAAGCTTGTTGCATTATATAACAAAATGACGTAGTAAACATTGCACATTGTCCTACAACACAAACACACAAATGCAGACATCCGCCCGAAAATGCATATCTAAATGCACTCATATTAAATTTTATGCTACTCACCCACCAGGTCTCATCGGCCCGCCTATTGCGAGCGGATCGCGGAAGTTTGGTGCTCGTGTCTCTTGATTTACATTTGTTTGCGTAGTAACCTCTCGCGTATTTCCCGTGAACACCTACACACATAAATTATATTAGATATTTACAAAAACATATTTCATAAGTGATTAATTACCGGGTCAACTAACTCTTTGCGATAACGATCTGATATCAGCGATGCTTCAGGCATCATTGTGTTTAGTGTTCCTTTAAGTTGTTTTATCCATTCTTGTGGATTTAAAGTTATGTTAGTTACCTTTGTGTCCTTAACATCGAGTAAGTTCATAGTAATAAAATCCTCTGTATTATGGCCAATTAGAAGGTACAATCGACCGTTGTGTAAATAACGCAAGGCGTATCTCTTGCCTCGATCATTCCAACCTTCAGGTAATAGTTCAGAACCAACATCTTCTGTTGAAACAGTTTTCTTTAAAAAAATGGGAAATATGAAAGTTAATTCACTAATAAAAATAGAAGTTTAAATTACTTACATCTTCTCCAATGCCGATGCATTGCATTTTATAATGTTTCACAAGCAAAAAATGCGCTAGTGCGATCAATACATCAGACTTTTTATCAACAGTTTTTTCAATTGTTTTGTAAAGCAAATCCCAGCCAAAAAAGTCATTGGCGGTTGCACCAGTTGCTGAGGATCCTGCTCCTCCAGACGACATGTCTGCGAAAATTTCGAAGCAACAAATTTAGTTACTAGTTATATTATTATTATTTTTATTGTTTTTAAGTGAAAAACGATATTTTTGACATTTTAATTTTGCTTGATTTTTGGTTTATAAAAATAAACATTGGGCATTTTTAAGATTTCACTTTACAGTGAAGTCATTCATTCGTACTTTAATAGCAACTGAAAGTAGAAAAGTTCCACTCCGTGCATTTATACTATTATCTTCCCAATGTTAATGAAATTTCAAAACACATACATATATACATATTTGTGCATGAATAGTATAAGCTCTCAATAAAATTATGAAATGCACAACTAAACGAAATAAGCTTTGGATACTTGCTTGTACAAAATACGTCACTTCTCTTTAAAGTATATGGGATTAATTTCCAAGAAATATAATATCGTGTATAAGTGTAATGATGTAATGATAGTAGTATTTTAACTGCTTAAACTAAAAGCAAAAACTTAAATTTCTTTATATACATATATATATAACTAATAAACAAAAGTATATTATACCGTATGATAACAAAATACTACAATCTCACGCAATTTACTTCTTCTTTACGGGTAAATCATTCACAGTAGCGAGCACATATGGAACTCACAATAATTACTTGTCTATTAAACAATATTACACCTTCCACCGGCTTAATATACATACACACATATGTATAAGTAATAAACATGTATGATAGCAAAAATATTACAATTTTATAAAATTTGGTTCTTGTTTTAGTAAAAAGAGTTTTTTTCTACTATTATACCACTTGAATAATGTTTTTAGTATCCTATAGTACACTCAAAGCAAAATTTATATTTATATTTATATATATAGTCCAGAATTGGCCTATCTCCTTAAAATGTTATTTAAATCGGTTACATATTATTTTGATTTTTAAGTTTTTCCATTTCAAAAAGTGTTTTTTTCGTAAGAATTGACTTCTATGCAATTCGGAATTCATTTTCATTTAGTAATTCCTTTAGCGGTTGCAAAAGGCGCTCGTTTTCATACAGAGTATTTTATCTATTTTTTGTATGAGCAAAGAGAGAAATAAAGTTCCAGCCCATTAGTTGAATTACAAATTTATTGTTGTAAGAAGCAGAAAGAGCTGCTAATTTCTGCTAGTGAAATTTTTTCTAACAAATAGGAATAGCTGTCATATAAAGAAACAGCTGATAAAAGACATATTTAAACAGCCATATTTGCTTTGATTTCGTTTATTTTAATAGTGAAATAAGAATTATACTTGTTAAGTTTCAAGTGTTAATTTGATGTGATTATTAAAAACATTTTGATGATTTCTTGTAAATTCTGCAAGTTTTCCCGTTCCTTTTTTTCATATTTCGCTCTCTTCAATTACTCAGTTTTGTTCCTCCTGATTGCTAGCAGCAACTAGCAGTTGAGAAACAAACTATTAATTTAAAATATTTCTAAATGCCGCGAAATCGGAAGTGTTGTGTGCGGGAATGCTATAACAATAACAACACGTCCATTTTGTTCAGTTGGCCGAAAAATGAACAAATTGCACAAAAGTGGTGCCAAAGTCTGGACTTCGAAGGAAGGAAAATAGCCCCCTCAAACACTTTTGTTTGTGCAGTGCATTTTGAGGATTATGCACTGGGAACTAAGAAATTGAAAGATGGAGCTGTTCCAACTTTAAATCTTCGTAAGTAACAATTTTCAGATTATGCCTGTGCATATACATACATATGTATGTTTTTGAACCTATCGAGATTTGTTAACTGCTTTTGGTATTTATTTCGTATGCCATTTTGTGTATATTCACATAATATGGCAAAAGCATGAAATATAAGAAATTGTACAATTATATTGTATTAGTGTTATTAATAGGATTATTTTTTTATTTTATAAAACTCTAGGTAGTTATAGAGTCCTTTGTCTTATTAAACGTCAATTTCCGTATATCAATCAGAAAGGAAATAAATTTTGAGGAATTGGAATTTCGGATCACGATTTTATTAAGAGTCAAAGTATGTCCGAATTTGGCATCCTCTGACAAATGTATATTCCAATAATTTTGTAAAATATTTGCGTTTTCAGAGTTAAATAGGTGTTAGCAATTTAGAAGCAGCTGGCATCAGCATGTCATTCAAGTAGGGATTATTGGTATGGATGACAATTGAAATGTCAGTGATACAAATGTTTCCAATTAGAGGAAACACTTACTTTTACCTTTATAGACTGGAGTACTCAAGAAGTTTTGTGCCCGCAACTGTTTATTTACATTAGTTTGTGTGTTTGCTTTACCGCGAATTTCCCGTGACCTTCACAAATAAATGCATATTAATATTTACATATGTATGTATGTATTTCACATAATTCATTTATTACCATCTCAAATAACTCTTTGCGATAACTATCTGATATTACCGACGATACCAGCAGCATAGTGCTTAGCGTTCCTTTAAGCTGTTTTCAGAGCCAACATTTTCTGCCGAAAAATTTTTCTTTGAAGCGAAGATATGCACAATAATTCTAAATCTAAATTATATATGTACATACATACATCTTCCCCAAAGACGATGTATTGCCACTCACGTTTCATAAGCAAAAATTGCACCAGCGCAATCTCATCCTACAATATGTCTGCGAAAATATCGAAACAACAAATTTAGATGTTAGTTATATTATTTAATTTTACTTGATTTTTTGTATTTAAATAAATTGAACATTTTTTAATTTCACTTTAGAAAAGAAGAGCAAACTAGAAAAGTTCAAGCTTGTGCATTCATTATATTACCTTCCTAAAGTTAAATACATTTTCGAAATTTTTTACAATTACATTAATATTATAAGTTCTCTTAATTTAATTATGAAATGCACAACTAAACGAAATAAGCTTTGGATACTTGATTATGCAAAAAAAAACGCTGTGTTGCTTATCTTTAAAATATGTAATGTTAGTTACCAAGAAATGTTTATCGTCAGTACCTGATTAGTGATTACGGGAAGATTGTAAATCACACAAAATCAAAATGTAAACACAAAATTCATGTGAAAAACAAAAAACAGCTGATTTTGGCAATACGGTTTAAAATACTTCATGTGAGTGAATCATTCACACTAGCGAACATTTGGAACTCACAATAATTACTTGTCCAGTAAACAATACTATATTGGTACAGCTTTATTTGCAGTTGTATAAAAAAAAATTAAAAGAAAAATGTGCTGTATGATAACAAAATAGTACTGTACCGAGCAATTCTTTTAAAGTAAATCATTCACGGTTAAACAACAGCGCTACCAGAAATTTTTTTTAAAGCTCTACGAGTTTCTTAAATCCCGATTTACACTGTGTGATCGTTCACCCCTTACTTATGGTCCATTCACATAAAACTTTTAAGTCATTGAACAGCTGATTTCAAGTGAGCAGTTTCCTACTTCTAAGCAAGAATAGTACACTTAATTTAAGGAAAGTTGGCGAGCGTTTATGATAAGTGTATGTGTACCTCATCAACAATTTACTTTAGTTGGCCGAAGTATAATGTAGTTATATTACCCAAAGCCAAGTCGTATCAAACCCAGTAAACTCCGTTGCCAAGACAGTCGGATCTACGTAACCGGAACGGACGCAGATTTCTATCCCGTCAAGGACTGTCAACTCGACAGAATTCTGCCGTTACAACAAAACAAGTCAACTATTTGCTAAGGTAAACGATTAGGCTTTTTAATCTATACGGTTAAAACAGTAAATTTTATAAGTAATAAATTTAGCGAGTAATAAGTCCTTAGAAAATCTGTTCAATATTATAGTCGTCTCTAAATTCATTTGAACATATTAAAAAAGTTATGCAAAAGTACAATATCGCATAAGTCCCTTCAAGATACGTAAACCTGACAGTCGTGAGAAATACTCCTAACCAAAGGCTTTTACGATTCCTTGAAGTCAAGGATGCTACATGAACGATCTATATATGATATGTACCACATATAATATTCATATGTGCATGCATACATATGCATTTGTCAGTACCCATGAGTTCCTGGGGAAAAAGGATGGGTTACTGTTTCTTATAATGCCGTTTATATATTTCCTTCGTTTAGAACTTATATAGTATGTATGGTTTCAGGTATTGATTACAAGGAGTATAAATTCCCAAACTTGATCTCTTCTATCAATTGCAACAATTATTAATATAGATTCTACATATACATACATATACATACTGTATGTTCGGTATAAAATCTAAAATGTTTTTAAGTCGATTTATACTACGAGGTCTATATTTAATAATATGATATACATACATTCTTGTTTAGTTTCTTACCTATATGAGTATCTCAATTCTTGGGTCAGAAGCCGACTTTGTGTTAATTTTTTAGTGGGTCCACTTTTCCGTTATGTATACTTAATTTATTGCCTGCAGTTCTACCTTGCCCGAATATTTGCTGGTGGTCCGATGGTGTGTAGTAATATGGCGGGTAAATCGAAAAATACACGAACGATTTACGAATGCTGTCGGTACAATGACGTTTTGTATGCGCTCACTCGCTCGCACCCGGTTTTCTAACTTCTTCCAGCACATGACCGGCAATTGAAGCAACGATGCGAATGCTGTCGAGCATGTCAACCGAACACAGCAGTGAAAAAAAATAAAAATATTTCGTACGACAAAGCAAAAATTCGTCGCCATATTGAATCCGAAGTGAGTGGTGCTAAGTTGTATGGTGTAGAGAGAAAATTTTGCAGATTTTCAATTAAATTTTACCTTTAAAGTTTGCAATTACCAAACAAACAATTAAGCATAATAAATTTGTGCGTGTGTGAATATGTTTTTAAGCACATTTGCTTTGTGAGCATACAGGCAAGAACTATTGATAAAACTTGTGTGATTGTTAAGCAGCAGCGTTTCATGCATTTGTGGATCGGTGTGTGAACAGCAGCGTGTGCTTGGAGTGTGGATTATTAAAAAAGTGTTCACCAAAAGTGATTTTCTGCTGCTGGCCTATAGATATAACTAATTACTTTGTGTGCAGTGACTGCACACTAAAGGGTTATAGCGTTATTTGTGCCCAGAACATAACCTAGACGCTTGAAATCGAGATGGAGACGAGTACGACCGCATCAACGCCAGCCCCGATGCAGGCATCTTCCAACAACGACAATGATGGTAAGTAGTGTTGCCAGAAATATCATGGGTTGCGTGGATGCTTTATCGTCGGTCCGTAAATTTGTGCAAAAAATTTACTGTAAATATAAGAAATGAAAAAAGCCGGTGATGTTTCATAACTATCAGCAAATTCTGAAATCATTGGAAATCTATATATTTTCTAAGTTTTAATTTATGCCTAAAAGTTTGCCGTAGTTTGTGGATTTGGACCTAACATTTGCTTAAGATTGACAACTAAAATGTATGTTAAATTTTGCTGTATTTAGTTTCGAAGACACATTAATTAGATAAGTAAAATAATTTTTTTTATTTGGGTAGTGTAATCACATTGGTATGATCATTATCAAAGAAGTTAATTCGTTACTTAATTTTGCTTTGTATTTAACATCATACAATTGTATGAATATATTTATTCAAAACATTTTATTGATATAATTGATAAATATGTATTTGCTTTTAGTTATGTGGCAGCATGGTCAGTGCCGAAGTTTATACATTTGGTTGACCATGTCCATATAGCTAATATATGAACCGCTTTCGTAGAGTTGTATTTCGGCTACAAGTATACTCGCTTATCAATCACGAAGTGATATCTTCGCCATGTTTATATTTATCAAAGATGTAAACCTTATTTTGTCGCCTGTCCGAAGGAAAATTAACCTAATATCTACCAGAGATGGCGCTGTTAAAATATCTCAAATTTTCGATGTCGAAGTTTGACAAATCGATTTTTTTTTTTATTAAGGACCGAACTACCGATCTTGTCATACTCCTACGCATACTTTATACACAGTGATGGCTGGATTAATAAAATATAAACATATTAAAATGGAAATTGTAAATAAGTATTTTTCTTCAATCTTATAAATGAAAGTAGGATAGTGCATACATATGTACTATATGTCCATTTTCAATTAATTATGTATATAATTCATAATTCTTTCCAAAATTTGACGAGGACTATTGTGAATAGGTCAAAAGCATACTAAAGTACAGTGATATTCCAAATAATAAATATACGTTTTAACGAAATCGTTTATTACGAACAATAACTTTTTAACTATAAATATGTTTTAGAGTGAATGAATGATCTTCCCATTTGAAATAACTTATAATTATAAATTAATATTCAGCCATCATCAAATGTAATGAACAATCAATTTTTTTTAAATAGCTAAAAACTTATACTACTGATAAACATTACTCATTTTTATTGAGAAACATACCAGGCTAAGTACTCGAATTAACGAAAAATTCGATATAACAATATATCTGCTCTGACAATAACTGTCTTTGTTATTTCGGAATACTGCTGTATATGTAAAAAAAAAAAAAATATGTCCATCATTTTTATTAATATTGCTAATTATTAAAAAAAAAATTTTATTCGCAGATATCGAATTTGATGCCAGTTTGGCCGATGAAGAAAGACGTTTCTATCTCAGGGCATATCCCTCTGTGGATCTGGTGCGTGAGCGTAAGGTGCACTGTACTGTCTGTAAGACTCATATCGGAACTGCACCTAGTCAAGAGGAGAATATCCGCATGCATCCAGTGTTACGTGTAACACACTGCTTGAAATGCCACGACTTCTATAACAGCGGCGAATTCAGTAAAGGCGAAGATGGCTCAGAACTATATTGTCGTTGGTGTGGCCAAGGTGGCGAAGTTTACTGCTGCTCAAGCTGTCCCTACGTATTCTGTAAATCATGTATCGTTAAGAACCTGTCTCGCGGTGTAGTAGTAGATATTGAACAGAATGAAAATTGGAATTGCTTTAGCTGCGCACCGAAAATTCTTTGGCCATTGCGTGCACAACATTGGGCACTAATACGTTACATAGACAAACAAAAGAAGTGAGTTCAGTTTACCATCCTTTATATGTACATTATGTTTATATACTAATTTAATATTGCTATTTAATTTACAGGTATATCGATGTGAATCACCCTAACGAATCTGAAAAGAGGGCGCTTTTGTCACAGGACCGTTCAACATGCTGTCGTCTTGCCAAATCGAAATGTGGAAACATGTCCGACTCTATGGAAAGTCTAGATTCTGCAACATCTCGACGCAGTCAAAGCAGTTCTAGCGCAAAAAAACATTCGAAATCGCCAGGTAATCATCCACAAGTACCCCCTGCCAAACGTATGAAAAACTCAAATGATGAAGTTGTTTGTACACCTGATTTGCTGAGCATGTTGGAACCGGATTGTCAAATTACTGTGCAACAGAAGACACGTCCCGCACCTTCGCCCATTACTTCAACTCCGAAAATTATATCATTACAAACGCACTCGTCATCTCCGAACAGTAGTGGCATTACACTGAAACCACATAATAACACTCCACCACCATTGGTACTACGTAACACCGGCATACCGATCAGACATCCCTCGCCTGCACCAATTGTACGACGTACAATTATCGGTGCACGAAATGCGCCAACAACCGGAAATCATACGCCAGTTTATCACACTATTAACGGTTATCGCATCGATCTTAATTCGGCAGCACAACAAGAAACATTCCGTTTGCCCAATGGCAAACTGATACAGGTGAAACGGCAGGGCACAAATCAACCACAGCCCAGCACTCCATCACCGAGTAATGCTTGGATGCGGCAGGCAAGCCCCATAACAGCTATACAACATGCGGCGAGTGGACGTCCTGTTCAAATAACCCCAGCCCGTACATATTATTCTGTATCGCAACAACACCAGCAAAATTCAATGCAACAGCCGCAAATGATACGGTATAGTAATACAACTGTGACACCGGTTAGCGGTCAAAATGGTGCTATTCGAGGTACACAAATACAATTGATCAATGGTGTGCCTGTAGCGCCAACAGCTGCGCCTGCAACAGTTAATTCTGCAACTGCTGTGCGTGCACCGGTCATGGTGCGTCACGTGTTCCCCGACACTGCCATCGGTCAAGCGCGTTCCCAGTTACAGGATCAAGTCTTCAATGCCATGGAGATTTGCCAACATCTTACTGGTAAAGTACAAACACTGACCAACTCGAATGCTTACAAGCAGGCGCGCAATTATCTTGAAGTCAAAGAACTCTACATACATCTCTCATATCTGTTGACATATGCAATTGGGCGTTTTAAGGGACTGCAGGATAAATGCTTGGGTGATATGCGACAATTAGGATTTGTTAATGATGCGGATAGCTTGGAAAACGGCCAATTGGCTGCAGGTATGTGGTTATGCAATATTCGATATTGATGTGTATGTAGAAATATTTAAGTGTTAAAAAATGTTGCTTAGAAATGTAGCATTAAAATTTTTTTTGAAAAATTTCGAAAGTTCTCGAAATTCGAGAAATAATTTCGAAAATGGAAATTTCGATCAACATATATGATTATCTGAGCAACAAATTTCGAAATTAAAATATCGATATTCCATGCACGAAAAGCGATGTTCGAAGTTGTAAATTAAATTAAGTATGTAGTAGAAAATGAAAAAAAAACAATTTCTTTTTACATAAAAACGAATTAAATCGCGTAAGGCTCATCACTTAGTCATTGTCTTGAGTCATTTGTTGTGCACATGGACTACGTTTTAAATGTTTGAAAAAGGTGTGTGAAAAAGGTGAAAATGTGAGCACACAAGTTTGGTGCAATGCAAACAGAAATGTAAGTACGAAACAATAGCGGATGTTTGATGCGTTTCGAGTTCAATTTCATTGACTTTCAGCGACGCAACTCTTCGAGATTCGCTAAAGCTTCACACACGAAGAGTTTTACATGGACTACATTTTCTATTTATCAAAGAAATAACAAAAATCAATCAAATCATTGAAATTAAATATTTATGTAACGGATGTATCATTCTTTGCGACTGAATTTTTGCACAATTCTCAAGTTTCGTTCGTAAAAATTTAAGAAATAGTCAAAATAATATAAATTAAGCAATTACTGAGTTGATATGAAATGTTTTTAGAGATAGTCTTCCGTTCACATCACATAAAAGTATGTATTGGTAACATGAAATGGTTTATATGTACTTTAATAACTTGATAGATGAGAAAAGTTGTAGTCTCAAGCTTTTTCGCCTAAAATTATACTAATAATTGGCACTCTGGTATACCTTTTTGAGAACCAAAGCTATATTTTTATATATATTTTCACGTAAGTAACCAAGATGTTGCTGCAGAACCATATAATACATATCGAATGCAGATCCAGTTTGTTATCGTCTAGGTAACAGACCTATAACATTCTACAAACTCTTCAATTAAATTGTAAATATCAAGTGTTATAGTATATACATATACAAATATTCCAAGAAATCATAAACTAAAAATAATTAGCGCGGTTTGTAATGAGTGGTCCATGTGTTGGCAAAATGTCTGAAGGCAATGAAATTCGCAACTCGATAGCATTTTTAGCAGCATCAAAAATACATTAAATTAAAACGAATTAATTGCATTAAAAATAAATTTAAAAAATTGATATTTCAGGCGTCGACTATGTCCGTTACGGCCAACTTGAAGATATAGATCTCTTCAATACCAGCGCGAACAGTTTCCACAATCAAGTGTATGAATATCGGAAAAGTTTGCATGCGAATATGGAGAATGGCGAAGGCAATGATAAAAAACCGCCCCTCTCACCGCTTATGCCACTGGGTCAGCTGAAGCGCGGCGGCGCCGATGGTGAAGACGACGAGGATTATGGTGAAAATGACGAGACTGGCGATAATAGTTGGATGAAAAATACAATGGACGAGCCAACATATTATGACGACGGTGTCGATATGTCTGCCAATGACGATGTAGATGCCACTGCCGATGCTGATGGCGATGATGATGAAAACGATGCTGACGCTGATGGCGCCGCTGATTTTGAACAATATGTCGCACAGCAACAACAAGCGGTACGCTACAGCAATAAAGCACATTATGGCACTGAAGATTACATGAGTCAGGAGGAGCAAACACATGCGCGCGATCGCAAACTTGCGCGACTCATTGAGAAATATCCGGCCATTTGGTGTACCCGCCATCCCGACTATGGCAATTTCGAAGTAACACGCAAGTACTGGCGCATCGTAGCGACACACTTTAAACGCACCGAGAATATAAAGTTGCGCTGGAAGAATATACGTAAACGTTATGTGCGCGTTGAGCGACGCATACACGATGGTAAACGCTTCAACGGTTATTTCGATAAAACAACGAACTTTCTCGCCAATCGCGATCTTCCCGAAGATCAGTGGTTGGAAGTTGACTGTGGCAGTGACGATGATGAAGCACAGCAGGTTGAACGTAAAAAGCCGAATGTCATCGAAAAGAGCGCACTGAAAGACGACCAATCATATGATTGGAATAATGAGGATTGTGCGGAGGACGCGAACGATTACGAAATGTCGGATGGTGTGAAAGCGTTAGAAGTGCGTGCTTTGGATATGAAAATCATCAACTTCGTTAAATGTAATCCGGTGTTATGGCGTAAATCTGGCGACTCGCAGTACAATTCCGTCGATGTGCAGTCCCGCAAATCGCTGTGGATGCACTTGTGGCGGAGTTTACGCTCCCAAAGTAGTATGCTAAATGGTTGGTGCACACTGCAATGACGTTGTAGTGCTATTTTACTTATTTTCATTGTTCTCTCTCTTATTATTATTGCAGATCTAAATTGCGAGGATATAATGGATCGTTGGTCGCATTTGTATGAAATGTACAAGTCCTTCCGCTTAAAAACGATCAAGAGCGAAAGCAAACGTGCTAATTTAGAATTGAAATACTCCAAATATTTGGCCAAATTATCATTTCTCTACAAAATTGTCGAAGAAGATTTACGCAATGAGCATTTAGAAAATATCGATATTGATTTTACGCAAGAAGTAACGGAGAACGACAACCGTTTGCAGGACGAACCGGACGATAAGGAATTCATGCTGCAGCTAGTACGTACTGTGCAGCGCTATCCATTATTGTGGGACTCATTGAATGTCGATTACTACGATCAAGTGTTGCGCTCCAACTTCTGGCAGGACATTGCCAGTGCACTGAAGGATTTCAAACGTAAGAAGTGCCTTAAATAATAAGTATATATTAATGACACTTTTTTTTTTTGCTTTTAGGTAACGCAACGACAATTAAAATGCGTTGGCAACTGGCTTTGTTTAGCTATAAGCGTTACTTGCGTGAACGTTTTACATTCCCGAAGGATAAGCCCTTGCCAAAATATTGCCGAAGTTTACCAGTGGACGAAATGTTTTTCCTCGATTACCTACCGCTACAATAATAAGCGCTTCAGATCTCTATTTAATACTAAAAATCTTTTAACTTTAATAAATTAGTGTGCATAAGTTGACGTTAAGTATTAGTAAGCTAAGATTTGATAATTATTTAWTTATATAAGTGTCGGTTATAACCGCGTAAGCATTGTCTACGAAATTAAAGAAGAAAGTCGAAATATGAGGTGCGTTCGTGCTACGTCATAATTACAGCGCTACAACAGCTATTTTGCATATTTGATACTTCGTTGCTGATAATCAGCTGATGTACAAACAAATTGAGTGTTTATTATTATATTTACGACTTACGCGCAAAAAGTGACGGATGAAAGTGATACCGTTGCAAGTGCTGCCAGAAATTCACGCAGAACGTAAACTTTGACACTTTTCCAATACTGCTGCCATCTCGAATGGATCCAAGTTCTATTTATTTGTTTTTGGTATTTTAAATCGTTTGCTGATATTACTACGGTTATAGTACTAGGTTACTTTAAGCATTTTTTAAATTCATTTAGTAAGTGCCATTTCTGAAATAGAAGTATGAAATTTGTTGAAAAATTTGCAGAAATTAAAAGCAATAAGCACATTTAAGAATTATGGAAAAACAAACAAAAACTTTTGAAAGTATTTTTTGTGTTTATTTAATACAGAAAATATGCGCAATAATAGTCATCATGTTATAAAAAATATTTATATTATTCTATGTATGCTAAAAATACTTCATTTATTAAGCAGCTATTTTTTTTTATGTCCATTTAAGTGCGAAACCATTTTGTAATTTAACAAATACATTAGTTTAGTTATATTTATATTTGAAAATAAATTTAGTAATTCTTAAATTAAATGATAATGAATGAAATTTTTCGCTACAAAACCAAAACTGACTTTTCTTGCGCAAATACGTTATAGAGTGAGGTTATAAAAAATTAAGTTTAAAATGTTATTGTTTAAATCTCTGTTCGATATGTACTTATGTTTTTTTCTTCCCTCACTCTCATAGACAAACAAGCTAGTGACGATGAGGATAACGAAATCGAGATTGTGGAACCTAAAACGGACACCATTACGCTTGACTCGGACAATGAAGACGAAGCGCCAGTCAAGCAAACAGACACGCCGAAACCCCCACAATTGGTTACAATTATTAACACTGCCGCCAGCAGCAATTCTGCGTGCCAACTCAGTCCAAATGATAATCGTCAAAAATTGATATTAAAAGAACAGCTGACGCTTCCTAAAGGCACTACGATTGTGCCCACTGCACCAGTGCCGAGCTTAAATAAGCTGCCGTCGCCTTCCAACAGCATAGCCGTTACGATCAATAATTCCAATGAGGAGAATAATGCAATGGAAGAGGTCGATATGATGTCGGCGGCGAAGAAATTTCTCGTCAGTCTTTTAGAAGTGGACTCAGATGCAGCTGAAGGCAGTTGGTCTGCAGATGGTAGCGAGCAGCAACAGCAACGCAAACAACCGCGCAAGAAAACGACCAACAAGCCAAATCCGACGCTGTTGAAGCAGAAGGAGATGCTTGAACGTGAGCGTTTGGAGGAGATGAAACGTAACGATTTGAAATTGAAAATGAAATGCGCCATATCATTGAAGAAGGCCGAAGAAGAATACCCATTCGCAAAAGATATGCTGCAACAGCACGAAAATGAGTCAAAGGCTGAAAAGTGCGCTGGCGAAACGCAGCGCTCGGCATCCGAGGAGAAGCAAGAGGAAGTGGCTACATGTGTCGACAATGGCGACACAAAGAAGCCCGATGAGAGCAATGAAGCTGGTAATGAAAATGATTCGGGTGATATGGAAATACTAACGGTGGATTTGGAGAGTTCCATTGATGATGGTAAAGAGACCGAAATAGTGTTGGAAGGCGAAAAGTCCCCAGCAGAGAAGTCTGTTGAAGGCGAGAATAATGGAAGTGCCGAAAAATATACTATTGTCATGGATGACGAGGATGAGGGCAAAGAGAAATCGCTGATTATCGAAGTTGAAGGCAATAGCAGCAGTGAGAAGGAGTCACTGCAAGTGGTTATCGACGAGAACACAGCGAACAGCAATGACGACAGCAACGAAAAGTGTACGAAAACGAAGATGGAAACCGTAAGCGAGTGCGCAAAACGTGTAATTGAGGGATTGCAAGCAAGTGAAAAGCAGAAAGAAATTGAGATGAATGAGCAACAACAAACTAAAGTGGCGTCACCAGACATGGTAAGCAGCGTTGATAATGCATCCGCCGACGACATTATCGAACCGATTGTCGTCGAAGAATCTGATGTAGCCGACTCGGAGGATTCGCCCATTAAGCAAAAAATGTCGGAGGTTACTAATGATTACGCTGTTACCACCGCAAACTCAACAGAAAGTGCGGCAGCCGACGATGTGATAGCTGCTAGGCGCGAGGCGCCCACAAACAGCGGTTTGGTAGCATGCGCTATTAAAGCAGCTACTGAGAGAGAAACCAACGCCGTTGAATTGAACGAGCCCGAAATCGATGTTGAAAAAGAAATCGAAATGTTACTGATGAAGAAGGCACAATTGCCTGAGGCTGAAACCAACACCAACACTGAAGCAAGTAGCGCAGCTGCTGACACGCAAGCCGAAAAAGCGCCAATAGCGCAACCCGTTACACCTGAGCTTTTGAGCGACTTGGCCGACAACTTATTGGAGAGTGCGAGAGCAACGCATCCGTAAAGTGCGCAATTATTTAACTAGGTAACTGCAGTTATTGCCACTTCGATTTTTCGATTTTTTTTTTAAGTTTTGTATATCTTAGCATTTAACATATATTTTATAATGTATCCAAGCTATACAGAACTACTTAGACTTAGTCTTTGTACGCCTGTGCGTATAGATTTTTAAGTTGTTATTACATTTACGCCTTTAAATCATGAATAGGTTTATGCCATTAACTGTTAAAATTGCTAAGAATATTTATTTACACTCAATAATGAGTGGTAAAACAGCAAATATTATTTTTAATTTACAATTTTCTGTAAAATATGCTGAATTTTTTATGCTGGAATTAAATGCGTGTAAAGCGCAAGCGTAAAGGTGTGTGAAAGGTCACACACATACATATGTATTTATGATTGCCGTTAAACTATTGCAGTATACTTCAGAAATAGGCATATTAATAGTTTCCTAATGCTTCGCATTAACTTTGAACTGTTTAGAATAAAAAAAATATTCAATAATTTAATATTATATATTAATTTGAATTAACTATTTTGAGATTTGTAAATGTATATAGTATATACAAAATTATTGCGCGAAAAATAGAAGTAAATAAACTTAAATACATATTAATGTTACGTTTATAAAATGTTTTTTTAAGTTTCTTTTTGAATAAAAACTATAAAATGATACCGTAATTAAAAATTACAATGAGTATCAATCAATAATTTTAAATTCTGCAAAAGTTCCTGAAGATATTTTGTCAAATAAAAAAGTTTTGCACACAAGAGCATGATTACGATCGTTCAGTTTGTATCATAGCTACACATTCACTTAAAAAAAAAAAAAAACAACATCCACTCCTGTACTTTAAATCAAATTTTTAATTATGTACGAAAATGTATACGTGTACGTATACAGGTGATCCAAGTACAGGTACTTTTTTCAAAACCATTTTCAGTGATGATACTCATTTCTGGCTCATGAACGGCCATTTGATACAGTAAAAAAAAATGATTTAGTGTGGCTTGTGGCCCGGTGGAATCATCCGTCCATATTTTTTCAAGAAATTATATCGGTGAGAACGTAACCCTCAATGGCGACCGTTATTGCGCCATGATAACCGACTATTTGTTGAATGAAATTGAAGTTCGTGCTTTCGACAACATTTGGTTTCATCATCATCGCATCAATTATTTTATTCAGAGAACATTTCGGTGAGCAGATAATTTCACGTTTTGGGCAGGTCGGTGGAGCAAAACATCACGCGTCTCATTTGTCAGTTACCAGACGTAATGCTCGAACGAGTCATCGAAGATTGAACTCAACGGATGGACCATCTTCAAAAAATGTATACCAAAAATGTTTTTTTCGAATCATAAAAAACATTCCCCAATAAATTTGAAGTTTCTGTGTTTTTCCTTAAAAAGTGGAGAACCTCGAAATGGCTCATATGTAGTTATGTTATTCAGTTAAATTTTTTTTAATTTAAAATCTTACACGGAGGCACTGTACAGCCGTAGAACAGATTATTATAAAAGAAAACTTAAAAAAGAAAGAAAACAAATTGGGAATTTGTTGAATTGATGCACCGCTCTATTAATTAAAAAGTGCTTTTTGCAGTTCGCGTAATATACAACGGAGTAACGGAGCTGGAAGCGAGCCACATCCCAAAAGTTTGATCTTTTAATTCGTAAATCATAAAATATTTTTTTTTTTTCATCAAAGGACCTCAACAATTCATTGCAGGTATCTGTGTCCAGTCCGACAATATGGAATAGATGAATTGAGAATGATTTGAAAGCTGAGAAAGTTCAACTTCTAAGCAAAACAAAAATATCATAAAAATACTGTCCTTCGCAAAAGGACGATTGTCATTTCCACCTCATTTTAGATTCGTTCCATGAACTACGTTGTTGTTGTTTTTGTAGCGACAAACAACATTTTCTTATTATTTTCTACCTCGTTTAGCATCTTACGACTCGGATGATTCCTTCGTAATCCTGACGGAGGTTTTGGTGTTGTGTAGCAGATATATCGATATAGATAGTTGCTTCTCGTTCTTTCGAAGGCGGCTTTGGCCTATTTGGTAAATAACTTACTACCCACTGTCTAAGTTAAACTAGAGAGAAGTTTTTAAATTAATTCATGGTGAGTGAATGACTACTCACTGGAAATTTATCGATATAATTTTAGCGATTTGCCCCACATACACAAAACCTAAAAAGTATTGTATGTTGGAATCGGTCTACGAGTCCTAATTCTATACTCCACCTTTACGGCTTTTGACGTCATTTTAGCCATGTATAGTCAATGAGGTCAACAAGATCAGATCGTTTTCAGATCCATAAACACATTGCACAAAAATATTAAAATATACAAATTTACATTGGAATTGAACACAGTTTGTTACATAATTCGTTACAAGTGACATTTTCATACTAAAAGTCGGTATAGGAATAGATAATTTTTTTTTTTTCATAACAAAAGCTAAAATTGATGTATAAATATAGTAAAATTTCTATAAAGATAAATGTCTTTGAGACTGCAAAATTTATGTGTGAAAGGTTATGATTCAGAAGAGTAGGACGATCAAGGAAGAAGTTAAATTTTGTAGCTATAGCCTCGGACAATTGTGTTATGAGCAATAATTTGGCAGGTATTCCCGGCACTCGAGTTCAGTAAGACAAGTTTAACGCCATTGCATATGCTCTGAATTCTACGATTTTTTATCATAGCGTGGACGTAACCAGTCTTTTCGATGTGTATTGTGAGTTGAATTGTCCAGTGAAGCACACCGAAAATTATACAAAGCAAAATAAACCAAATGTAATATCGATCAAGGAAAAGTTTCCTACAAATTTTCGTGATGACAAAATATTGAAGATGCTGCAGTTGTTTGCGAGTACGCCGTGCGAAACTGAAGAGTGAGTAGGTACTTTTAATATCACGCGTTAATTAAAATGCAATATTTTGCAGCGTTCCAGTGGAGATGTATTCACTTGTGCTGACGGCGGAAGATACTCATTGGCGGTTTTGCTTCTGTCGTTATGACTTCGACACCAATTCGATAATGGTTATACTGACGCGCCTGCCATGGCATGAGACCTTCTTCAACATGCTGACAACGCTTTTCGAACTCAAGCAAAGACAATCAAATGATTTTCATACATTTCTCACGAATTGTTACAAAGCTGCAGTGCCGCCACGTGGAGATATAACGCTTGTGCCGGTGGGCGGGAGTCGTAAGGTAATTTACTTTTTTTTTTCTCGAAAGAATAAAAGAGTTTAAAAACGCATATATAATTTATTAATTTTTGGTATTATTATTCATACCATAATTATATTTACATTCTTAGATGTTTTCCATCGAGCAACCATCCTTTTATAAGTTACCTTGTATTCCAGTCAATGTGAGTATGAAACTGATTTAGTGGTTGTGCATACCCGGAGTTTTTCTTAATTCGCCACTATCTTGTTTATAGCACAATTTGACTGTATTCTATAATTTGGCTACGCCTAAAATCATGCTATCCATAATTGCTTCGCTTTTGCAAGAGCGTCGCATCATTATCACATCTCATCAGCCGGATCGACATTCCGCCTGCGTGCAAGCCGCCAATGGACTACTCTATCCAATGGAATGGCAACACACCTATATACCCATATTGCCGTTGCAACTTCGCGACTATCTGATGGGACAAATGCCATATCTAATTGGTGTGCCAACTTCGGTTCTAGACACGGTAATTATAACTATTTGCTTGCTATTTTTAACTATGCTACGCCCCCTTTTTGCGTTACAGGTTTGTAGGGGTGAACTTGGTGACGCGATCATATTCAATTGTGATGTTGGCACATATGAAAGTTTTTATGATGATGTGCAGCATTTACCGCACAGTATTGTCAGAAATATGCAAGATCAATTTAGAAACTCTAAGCTGCGCAATGATGAATTCATCTCATATGTATTTCTATTGATGATGGTGCGTTTGGTTGGTAATTACCGGGATGGTATTAAATATGAATCTGATCCATTGTTCTGTGACAATGCTTTTTTGTCCAAGTCTTCTCAAACAAACCACAAATTTTTACGTAAATTTCTGTCCACCTCAATGTGTGTTCACTTCTTACGCACACGTTTAAGTATGATAAAGCATGGATCGATGATATGGGATCGTTTTGAAATGGAAAGTGCCTTGCATTCGCAACGGAAGAAGAGCCGTTGCTGTGGTGGTGTCAAGAAAAAGAAATTTAAAGAAGCAAATGAGATATATGAACCGCTCAATAGTTTTCAAAATCAATTATTTAAATCTTTGGAAATGACGGAGACCATTAAATCGCAATTGGAGCAGTTGCGCAAATGTCAGCAGTATAAAGATGCAAAAACACATACAGATATGAAAGAACTGTTCGGCAGTCTTCGTTATACGTTGGCGTATGCTACCTCAGCATACAATAGCCTAGAAGCACAAAATGTTGAAGAGATGAAAAATCTTGGATATACTGAAATAAGTAATAATTCACATTCGCTCTGACTTGTAAAAAATATAATATATCTGTTTACACAATTTTAGACACAAGTACGTTGAACAGCGATTCGCTACAGGAAAAAAGAGCAAGTTCTAGAACACGTTATGATGTTTGATTACTTCCCCATTTATTGTATACGTGTATATATGTGTGTGTATTATATAACTGTAATTCGTATATGGAATGTCAAAATATAGTGAAATTGTATTATAAGTTTGTTTTAGCTCTATATTTTTACTTGTTTCTATAATAATTTTTTAATTGCTTATCGTGCAGCTGAAAATGCTTTGCCACTGTTCAATGCCTTTGTAATCACTCTTCACTATTCATAAGTTTGAATAACTTCTTTAAACTTTTCCATTTTACTTAAAAACTTTCTTGATCATCCGCTTCCGCTCATCGTTTCCGACAAAATGTCATCTCATAGGCAACAAAGGGAATTTTTAATTTCCCACCTATGCTAAAATAACTGTAATGGCAACCCTGTCATGTCTTGACACTCATCTGATTTGAACTGTCATTTAATTTATTTTGTTGCGTTGATTTTCACACTTTGTACGTTTCTTATTGCATTGCTTTTGTCTCGGGGACATTAATTTTTTTAATGCCTAGCTTGATAAATAATTAAAATAAAAGATATGACGAATAATTTGTAAATATCTAGTGCTTGAATTTCAAACGCAGACGACTGCAAAAAAATCGTAGTTTTGAACGGAAAAATTAAAAAAAGGGAGTCCGTGAAAAAACCCTTTGCAAAAGTGCGGAAATCACTAGTGACGTCGTGCAGAAAAGTTACGAAAAGATAATAAGAAATCATATAAATAAGTAGCTACCAATAGTATTTTATATACATTATTGTAGTGTTGAAATAAATACAAAATTAATAGAAAGTGATTGTGTTATTACATATATAATTTAAAAACATGGTTTCTGCATAATACAACATAATATAAGTGGAAATTCTTTGTGGCAGCAGGGCGGCGACTGCAAGCGCTTCGAGTATGAGTTCCCGTATAAAGTGAGTGCCTTCGACTCTATGTCGCTTATATTGAATTTATTTAATGCAGTGCTAATCTTTGAGTTTAAAGCACATCAAATTGCAATCAAACATTTTTTAATTCCAAAAACCGCTTTAAAAACAAGTTGTGAGATAATGCTGTTTGAAAGAAATTGAACTTGTGACCATGAGAGAATTGCAACGTCAGAAATCCCCCTTCATTCATCACAAGTGAGCAAGGCATCTTCTAACAATTATTATTCGTTGACTTGTTTATACAATTGTGACAGTGTTTGTGTCGTCTAATGTACTACAATTAATCAGTAGGCGTTACGCTTAAGTGCATTTCACCCGAATTGACCAACTTGTCTGATGAAAATTTTTGAAAAAAACTAAATGCTGATTTACTTGAAAAGTGATAAGCGAAACGTTCATATTTCAAGAGTGTTTGCCGTAATTAAATATACATATGCTTAATGTGTCTTATTTTACAGTTTTTATTTAAATTTAATATAACGTATTTGTATTTGTGTAAACGAAATGTGAAATTTTGTTTGCAGAACGGATGTAAAGAAACTATTCGAGTTTTGGTGTGAAGTCGCGCTCGTACATAATGGAGATAAACACAGTACGCCTACGGTCGGCAGTCAGACATCACCGTCTTGTGTCATTGTTGAAAGCTTTCCGGAGGGATATCGCGATGAGAAGACAATGGCCGATATACCCGCCTTTGCGTTTCCCTGCAAAATCGAAAGGTGAGTAGAAAATATAAAAAACTAATAGAATTATGTCATAGCACAAAAGCAAATATGTACCTACTCCAAAAGAATGTAAGCCATGAGCAGGTAAAGTGTGCGGGTAGCACTTCCGGTTAAATTAATCCGGCAAGCATCATAGTCACGTTCGAATGAATACATTTGCTTATACATATGTATGCATAAACATAAGTAAATAAATCCTATACATATCTACTTATGTATGTTTGCATATCCTTATGTGCATTTGAATGTAAGAGTATAATGCGTGCCATTACATTGCTTTACCACATTTTACAGTCCTTCATTGCCACAGTATATTGCCCGCTTTAATTACATTCTTGCATTTGCACAGTTATTTACAAACATGTGTCCATATGTGTGTGAAGGTATGTGTATCGTTGATTTTAAGCGTTTACTTTCAAGTTGGCCAATGCTGTTGTTGTTGTTGTTGTAACGGCAGAATTGGCCAATGCTCTTTGCCGTCCGTCGACTGGTCTATGATTCATTCAAGTATTCGCCCATTACTATGTACATATATATATGTACATATGTACACGTCGATAAAATATACATACAAACACTTAACATTTAATATATTTTGGTATTAACTTCAGTGTTGACTAGTCTTGTTGGCACTATTGGTCAACGTGCGAAAATTAGATTGGATTGCTTTATATCGTTTTATCGCTGGTTGGGAATGTAAAATATTGACTAAATAAACTTTTAATTAGTTGTGCAAATGTGTTCATACTAAAATTCGAAAATTCACTATGCATTCTTTCACTTTTAGTGCTTAATTTGAAAGGTTTTAGTTTTATTTAGGTGTACTTTCCGAGGACCCGACCTAAAAAGTAATCATTTACGTATGTATATAAATATGTTATTACATATATGCATATATATAGTTGAAGAAGTTCCAGAAAAAAATTTCGTAATATTTGATTACTGTGAAGGTACAAACGTTATATAATTGGAAATTTCGGGAATAAAGTTTAAATAATAGGTTAGTGAACAAGCTTTTTAAAATGGTAAAAAGTGAAAACAAAAATCTTAGTAGGTTAAATTAATTGAAAAGTAAGATTAAGTAACGATATGGAAAAACCTTAATTATCAATCAAAAATTTTCACATCAAATCTGAGATTTTTTTAAAAGGCAGTAATATTTATATTTCTTGAAATCTCTTGTTTTTGTGATATAAAAGATCTATGCATTAATATGGCAAATTTTCTCAAAAAATTTATATCATTTTATTTTATATTTCTTTTCCAATGTGTTTTACCTCACTGTTATTTTTTGCTTCCAAAAATTTACTATACTGCTTTATAAATAAGCAATTAAATTAAAATATTTACAAATTCCTAAAATAATTTCGATCAAAGGTTTTCTTAGTATTTTAAGACTCCCGAAAATAATTTAGAACCGCAATATTCTAATAAAACAATTTTATATGCCTTATAAGGAATCTCTACCGTATGCGCACAATTAAACACTCATTTAAAAAAGCAAAACATCAAGCCCTAACTTATTTCCAACAATCGCAAATACTGTTTGTATAAATAAATTACATTGTCCACACTGTTGTTGTACATATGTACATATATTTGTTTTGCAAACAAATTTGCTTTATGTATACATAGTGTAGTTGTAATTATGCACACCTGTTGGCAATGTTTCGATATGTTTGTACTAGCGTATGTGCATAAGTACAAATTTGTATATGTACATATATATGGGTGTATGTATTTATGTAAGGGAGGAATGAACGAATTGCGGGCATAAAAAATTGCTTTCGTTTGGTTGAGGAGTGTGCACTGTGCGTGTTTAATCTTTTTTTCAATGTTTGGAAAATTTTAAGCTCATGTTGGAAAATATTTCAGACCACAACTTCCGATAACGGAGTTAGCTTTGGAAAAAAAGATGATAAAAGGATTTTTTTTTTAAAAATAAAAAAAAAAATTATTAAATAATACTTTTGTAATTTTATTCAAAACTAACTAACTAAAAGCCCTCAAGGGCATAACACAATTTATGAATAACTGTAAAAATTACTATACCATTTTACGCCTAAGAAATACTAATAATCATGAAATATTTCATAACTGAGTTTGTATGCCCCCAAGTCTTCAGCATGTGTATGCATCTCTTTGACCAGTAGCGTTCAGCGCCAAAACCGCTCATGAATAACCATCGCATAAAGCGGTCGGTGTTTTTATTACTTTTTATTTGTTTATTCATACGATTAGTCACAATCTGGTATCTTGTAGACAAGACAAGAGTTTCATAGATACGTACGTATGTATGTACATATGTATGTATGTACATATGTATGCATGTACTATACATTCATACCATATCTTTACCGTTCATATGTACATACATGCATACATATATATTCGTTTAACTGAGTTGCGTCGAAGTTTTTATTTACTAGTTTTGGCTTGTGTTACCATTTATTTCTTTGTTGTAGCTGCTTTTCGCTTTTGTTTTCTTCATTTACTTTTTGTTTCGCTGTAATTTTTACCATTTATGCATAATTTTGTAATTAACTCATATTTTATATTTTCTTATTCGCTTTTGTTAAGCTGAATCTTTTATTGAAATATCATTTTTGTTGTTGTCTTGACTGGTTATAATTTTATATGGGAAACTATATTTTTGTAACAGTAATAAATCATTAGACCCCTCCTAGTGAGTAACATTAGGGTTGTTGGCGTTTAAATAAAATTAAAAAAAGGTTAAATTGGGGAAATTAATTTTTTATTGTTCTTTTGGATGCAAAAGCTGGTGCGGCAGCGAAGGTCCATTCGGAAAGGATCTAATTTGGCAGAAAAAATATTGAATTTATTGGGTTTCGTCGGTTGAAAACAGCCTTTTTAAAAAATTTTTTCTCATATAAAAAATTAAATATTTTATTAGAATTTTTTATTGTTAGAAACAAATTACAATTAACAAATATTTAAACTCGATCATTGGGACGCAATTTCCCTTAGAAAAAAGATGCCTTGGCAGGATAACTCCTTACATTATCATCTAAAGTAAAAAAAATACTTTCTTTAGTTAAACCCTTAACTTAGAACTTGGATAAAAAAGAACTAAAAATTGTATTATTGGTAGACATTTTGACGAAAAAATGAAAATTTCAGTGAAAATGAAATACAAAATAAAAGTTAATCGCTTACTTCCCACGACAGTCTAGTCAACGTAACCGCGAATTTTTATGCGGTCACTGACTTTGAGGAACATTTTCTGGTTCCAAAAGGAAAATAACAAACATTGGTTTGACTACAAATTCTTGCCGATAGCGAAATGAGGGCAACCACATTACAAAAAAAAAAAATKAAAATAAAAATAATTGAATAATATTAGGAATTACTAAACTATCTAAATATTTTTGGCAACGTTATTAAACAAAATGTGTTTTTAATATTGCAAATTTCCAACGAAAATAACTTCGCTCCATTTCACTACTTTTTTACCGTTTCTCCATTCGTTTTTACTCACGTAATTTTTGTTTGAGCAATGAAATGGACGCTTTTTATATTTTGATTGATTTATTTCACTTTCGGTTGTACTTTTTCGTAAATGTTGGGTTTACGCCACCAATATGTATCTGCAATAATTAATGAGCCCAAGGGGCAATGTGATATTGATTGACTATTATGCATTAACGAACGCAATAACAAGAAACAGTAAAGTTGAATACTCGAACATTAACCTGGCTCAAATTATGTGGATCAAAAATATTCAAAATAATCCGGGTCTTCTATGTTATCGAAGAAATCTTGTGTTTCGAGCAGGGACGGTAACAGGTATGAGCAAATGAGCATAAAATTAAGTTTAATAATTATTTTTTAATTTACATTTTTTTCTCGCAAAAAAATTCGTTTTATTTAGATTATAATCTTTCCCTTACAAAATAAAACTTATTTCATAACTTTTATTTATTGCTCACAGAATAATAAATTTCGAGGTTTCCTACTTTTTTCAAAAAAAAAAGGCAATTTTTTCAAATGCAATGGAGAATGTTTATTATTATTCGAAATTACATTCTATAGCATTTATTTTTTGAAGATTATTTCTTTCAAATGTTGCGCATTGATTGATGCGATGAATGGTCTTGTTGAAACCAAATATCGTCGATATCACGATTTTTAATGTCAGGCATCAAATAGTCGGTTATCATGGCCGATGATTCCACCACTTTATAAACCGTACCAAACCGTTGTTGCGACTGGGTGAAACGGCATGAAGATTTTTGGGTTGCTCCTCGTCCCAAATGCGGCAATTTCGCTTGTTTACACATCCTCAAGACCTCACCGCGGAAATTTTGGCCCAAAAACGTTGGATTTTCTTAGAACTATCCCAATGTCGCTTTGGAAGGTCGATCGGCTTCAGTTCTTGAGTTTGTACGCTTTCAATTTAAGATCTCGACGTAAAATGCGTCAAGCCTATCCATACGTCAGTCCGAGTTGCTGCGATTGGAACCGAACCGAATGTCCAATAATGAATGCTAGGTCTCAAGATAGGATTGTGTTGCGAATAGTACTCCCAGTAGCCCGAATATGTTGACTATGTGGTAAGTTGAATTTTCGTAATAAAGTTGAACGATTTGTAAACGTTGTTCAAGCGACAGTATTTTCCAGCTTGACACAACTAACGTGTGAATTTTGAAAAACTCTACCTCTACTAGGATCACCAGTTATATTTTGCTTTGATTTTATTGATAACATTTTTCTGTACCCGATCGGTGGGTGATCCGAGTGTAATGTATTTTTATCGATCAAAACTAAAACGCAATTTTAATATCTTAATATATACATATGTATATATATATTCTTATCTAAGGGGTTTTTCGTTTCCAAACTAACCATGGCTCAGTTTGGATGTTATTTCATAATTAACTAAAAATTAAAGGGAAAGGAAAATGAATAAACTGATTTGAAGGGATCAGCGATACTCTGAATTGTCACAAACACGAATAGCCATAACCAATTTC